TCTCCTTGTATGTATGGTGGAGTCTAAATGTTTATAAATCGTGAATATAATACCCTGAAGATATGTTCAGTGCAGAGTAAATAATTTTTATTTAAACCAACTGTCAGCTTCACCAGCTCAGCTTTGGCTAGAATCTTTCTTATTTTCATGTCATGAGTAATAATAACTGAAGTGTTATTTAGATAATAGTTCTGCTTCTCATTACTACATAACAGAAAACCTACTGTAGAAAGCTTGTATTTACCAGGTTTTTATTATTACTATGTTCAGTTAGAGAAGGCGGCAGCTGAGACTTAGAATACACTCTGTACCCCTGGAGAGCCCTGTTGTCCTCAGTAGGTCACAGCAGAAATCCACTTGTACACAATATGATGCAGGGATGTGGTCCTACACAGGATTTTTTAAAAACTATGATTACCTTCTTATCGAGTGCGGTGAAGGCCTATTCCTTCTCTCAGCAGCATCAAACGGATTAAGGACAGGGGCTTAGTATTATATATGGGATTCCTTCAAGGAACCAATGGACAAGTGGAAACTAATTCCTTCTTGATTTTAACTTGAATTACCTGTGCTTGTGATGGTTTTTTTTAGATGTGCTGAGAACACCATTGTGTCCACAGTTCTTCATAGAACTTCATTTTAGTTTTGCCTGTCTTCTTACAAAGAAAAATCCAAATCTTTTTTTCTTTCCCTGCTGTCTTGCAGTAAAGGACTTGGCTCACATGCACACTTGCAGATGTGTAGGTGTATTTTGTATGTATTTGACTTTCAAAATATTGTTCTGTTTTTCTGCTGGGTAACTGCGGAAAATTCATTGAGTAACCTGGCCCTCTATCTCAGGGTACTATCTGCAATTTTGATGAAAAATTAAATGAACCTCTCTGAGGAATGGCACAAATATATGCATTCTGCCTCAAAATGATGAAACCGCTGGAGGAGGGTTAGCTGAGTATGTTGTATGTGATGCAGGTAGGCTATAGCATTAGAATTCTTTCGTAAGCCACAGGCCCCAAATACTTGTATTTATTGGACTCTTTTTAACTTTCTATGCCATAGAACCAAGAACTGAAAGTCATTAAAAAACTATATGTCTAACTTAAAAACACAAGCAAATGATTAGAAGCTGTGGGCATCTGATGCAACACAATTGAGCTGAGGGGACTTAATGAGTTACTGATTAGAGCTTAATTTCTGTAGCTCATTCTTAGCCTGCACCAGTCATGATAAAAACCACGGTTGCTTAATTCTCCTTCACTGTGATTTAAGCTAATATTCTCTTATCCTTTGGAGTGGACTGAGAGCCTGTAACCATGACTGAGCTGGTGAGTCCATCAGTTGAGTGTGGTCCTGCCCCAGACCCCAGAGTACTGGGTGCCTCTGTGCTGTCCGAGGGCCCTGGCTGGCGGGGGCTGTACATACCTGCTTGTGTGCACTTTAATTTATATCAGTGCAAAGTTGTGATTCTGTATCATTGTGAAGAAGTCGTGCTTGAGTTTCTTCTCAAGGAGCTTTCCGAGGAAAGGCACTTTGTCATTTTCCATTTTGGAGTTTGTGTTATAAATCATCTTTTGACTAGTTTCTCCTTTGTGGTTCCTGTCTGAAATTTTAGTCCAATCATATACTTTAAGGATCATCTCAAAATGGTTTTCTTTATCCTCTGGAAATTCAATTCTTAGATCCCTCAAGGTCAGTAACACTGTTAACCTATTAACAACCGGCCTCTGACAAGAATCTGGAAATAGTTTGAGCTATTCCAACTTGACGGTATACAGGCTGGGTTTGTTTTGTATTTATATTTAAAACAGTTAGCAGAAGTCTGGAAAAAACAATGCATTAGTAAAAATGGTTCTGCAATTACCCTTAACTCTTCTATAATTTTATCAGTGCTTACATAAGATAATCTGTCTATGATATTTTATTTATTTGGAAGCCTAAGAAGACAATGGTGGATGTTTATTTTCAAACATTAGGAACTGACTCTTCATAACCCTAAATTTTGGGTTCACTGCATTATTAAAATGGAGCTGAATTAAAACATATTTTTTCTTTTGTTACCATAGTGTACTTTTCATCCAAAGCATCCATTTTTCCTCTTTCCTGTTCTCATTTTAAACTCTGTTCCCAGAAGAAGAAGAGAGAAAATGGACAATTCTTTATCTATTCCTAGACTTTAAAGATTAATATTTCCTTGTCAGTCCTTTCCGTTCTCTCTGTAATGTCCTTGAAACATCATTAAGCATCTGAAGCTGGTGGATATAATTTGGAGAAAGAAGTGCAGGTTTTTAACCAAAAATTTTAAGTTTTTGAATTAAAGGAAAAAAAAAATCAAAATCAGGTCTATATTTTCTCTTGATATGTAAGGAAATCCCTTCTGATGCTGGCATCTGTGGAAGAGGAGGAAGCTACATAATACTGTTTTTAATAGATTTGGTCTGTACTTTGTCCTACTTTTCATTTTTCCCCTTTTAGAAACACAGACCCAATGAGATTTTTTTTAAGTAACTGCATGTAGAAAGTCCATATTATTTTTCTGTTTGTTTGTCGGTTGTTTTTATTTTCTCTCCACCTTCATCTCTGCAGGAAGTGGGAATAAAGACCTTGTTCTGTCCTATATTTTCCATTTGATAAGTCTGCAATGCATGTTGCTGCAGTCTTCTGATCTTCTAAGGAACAGCAGCTGCATTTCCGCAGCATTTTATCTCTGCACAGTCTACCAGAATGCTGCCATTTCACATATCCAGCAGGCCCCACACACAGCTGATTTCTTGGAGTGACGGAAGGAAGTCTAATAGCAAGTCTGCCTATGGCAAATGTGAGGTAGATACACAGGGACAGAGGTTGTGCTGACTTGTCTCCTTGTTCTGCACAGCCGACGTTTACCCACTGCCTTGCATGCCATGCTTTCTGGTAGGTCCCCGCACCAGAAATGTTAACATGGCCACAAAATCTGAGGCAGTGGTTGCTTGATACTGAAGAAATTGCTAGTCATCTAGCTAGGCAGGTAGGAAGTGAAGATCCGCACAGAATATCCATTTATTTAGCACAGCGCCATAAACGAGTTTTGGTGGAACTGCTGCGTCTTTCACCAAAAAAAACCCCAAACCCAAATACCAAAACAAAACATGCCTGATGCATGAGAGTGCAGTTTTAACTTAAAGTTGCAGCAGGAATATTAGGTTTTCTACTTTTTTGTATAATTAGCTACCATCCTGCAATTTTCCTCTATAATTGGCATACTTAGCTGTATGATTTCCTACTGGCTGAATGATTTGCATCATCCCATGTATTTTTTTACTTGCTGAATCCCTACTATTACTATACTAGAAGCTAGTACAATCTGTACTCTTTTTGCTACTGCTTTGCTATTCTCATTTACTCTAGCTGATGAAAATAAGAGCTCTGTGCTCAGAGTGAGAATTTTCCCATTGTTACCTGTTTAACAGCACTAAGGTGTAGCAGGTCTTTTGCTGATACCCCTAATAGACTTCACACAGACATTCATAACTCTGCTTTATGCCACTTGTTGGTCTTTTTTATATAACTGACTACATCAGTAGTCAAGGAAATATTTCTTAATGATAAACTTAGAAACACAGGCAGTCTGAGATTTCATGAAGTTCCGAATACTGCTTGGCCTTCCTTTTCTTTCTTTATCACATTGTCACCATTAGAATATTATGTCTTGGGATTCTGGGAACTCTTCTCTGATGTTGCTTTGCTAGGGAGAGTGGTAGGGTAGCACAAATCAGTTCATTAAGATCTTGGATGATGTAGGACAAGAATCTCTTTCTGTCAATAAATCTGTAAAATAAAATCATAGACAAAATACCAAGACTGGGTTTAAGTGGGATGCATTGTGTGAAAGGAATCTTTGTTGTAGAGAGGAATTCAGTGGTTGACATGAAACCCTGAACTTTCAAATTCAAAATGATATGGCTGTTAAACTTCCCCAGGGTTATTTTGACAATCCCTATCTTAAAGTTCAACATATTCCAATAAGTACTATATAATTAACACTCTTTACATTTGCAACGCTGGTATAAGTGTAGGCTGTCTTTTTAATGGCAAGCTTTCTTACTAAATTTCAAAAAGAAAGTGTTGGTATGGCAGTGGACTGCAGCATGAAAATTGAAAAACTCTCCCATAGCTATATCATGCAAGAACAGTGGTGAACAGTAGTTAATTATTCATTTAGTACTTCATCATAAAAGGTGTTAATTTTTGAATGAAAGGAGTGTGTGGCAGATACACCTAATTCAATTAATCCACAGCATAATATAAACTGAGTAAATAGTCACCTGTCATTTAATGAAACTTTATGAAGTAATAGACTGCTTTTTATTTCTTTCTTTTGTGTGTGAGATGTTGGCATTGTTGTTGTCATTATTATTATTATTATCATTATTTTTTTTCATTTTTATTATTAAAATTTTCATGAAACTCATCTGTTCACCATTCCAGTTAGTGAAATTGTTGGAATGGTGTCACAGAAAATCCCTACACTTTCTGTCTAAATTCACTTCACCATTACATTGCCTTCTAATATTCACATCAATATTATTTTTGTCAAAACATGCCATTCTGCCTATGGAGTGGGGTGCAGTGCTGTATTCTGACATAATCCGAACACCAGTTAAGAGACACCTACTATTTCTGAAATTCTGAAATTATTTCTACTGATACTGTTAGAAATGCAGTTTTTCCGCTGATTTATCTGCTTGGAATGGTATTGCTTGAAAACTGTCATCAACAGCCCAAGATTGTCCCTTAATTCACTTTCTAAAATTAAGTATCTAGAGTCTTGGGTAACAGCTTATACTTCAGCTGATGTTTGTGACAGTGGGAGGAGGTAAACTAGAGTCATTATGAGTAGAACCAGGTCAAAAAGTCATTTGGTTACAGGTAAAAGCCCACTGACAGGATAGCTGAGGATAGAGGGAAGAGAAAAAATCAAAAGGTAGGGAAATAATGGAAATAAAGAGACAGGACTAGGCTGAAGGATGATGTTTCTGAGTGGAAGCAAAGTAGCCGAGATGTCATAAGCATGCCACTTATTTTCAGCACAGATACCCTATAACATTATAGCATTTGCTGGTGTATATAACAAAATGATTTGTGTTTCTCCTCCTGCAAACATACCATCCTAGTGAACAGTTTAGTATCTCGGTAGAATTGCCCACATGAATATTTCAGCTGACTGAATATAACTCAGTAAACTGTCGGTGAGAAATGCAGCTTTCATTAAAACAAGAAGATGAAACATTGCAAACTTATTTAATTTTACTGCTGACAGAAGTTGTTTTTTTTTTAACTCAGGGCAATTATCTTGGTTATGGGAAGGGGAAAAGCCCTAATAGATGTTTCCTGGTCTGTCCTAATCTCTTTATGCTTTTTCTTTTTAATCATAGGTTTCTGTGCTCGAGAGGCAGATATTTGACTTCCTTGGTTATCAGTGGGCACCCATCCTGGCAAATTTTATACACATTATTATAGTCATACTTGGCTTATTTGGAACTATCCAGTACAGACCTCGTTACATAACAGGAGTGAGTATTTAATTTTATTTACTTATTTTGATGTGTGTGTAAAAACAAACAACAACAAAAAAGCATTCCAAACTCTACTGCTTATAAATCAAAGAGAAATCTTATCTTGGTTTAACTTTTTTCTGCAATATTTTACATTTACTTATTATACTTTTGAGACACCTGCAATAATTAAGTGGTAACAACCTACAAAAGTTGAAGTCAATATGATCACAAACTACTTGACAATATGAACTTTCAAGAAGTGAAGTCAGTTTAAAGAATTACAGCATCCTTAGAATTACAGGGATTTAGAGCTAGAATAAATGCTAGTCATAACTTTCCTAGATGCACTGGACCTCCCCAACAGATCTATGATTTATTATAGTTACTTGTTATTGTTATGAACCATTGTTCCTGGAGTGCCTATCTGTTATGTTTTTCTATGCCTAGAAATTATAGTCAAAGTTGAAAATGAAGTATGAGAATATGGTAAGAAATGCAGGTTTGATGGTAACGGACTGAGAGCACCAGAAGAAAAGTAAGGATTTGGACCTTTATATTTTTAATCCATTTATTTTCCTTAGCTACCCCTCATACACGGACTCACATACAGTATTGCTGTACTCTCTGGTACAATACAGTATTAATGAAATCCTCATTTCATACTCTGGGTTTGTTTTTTTCCCCATTTGTAGGTCCATAAAGGAAGAATAACAAATCTGAAAGTCATCGTTCAGAACACCTTTTGTTAGAAAGAGTTTTGCATAACAATATTTCTATCAAAATTGACTGCCAATTCAGTTAAAGCTTGTATACTTTTCAGAGACAGACAGCAGTCAAAAAGATTTGCCCGTACGCAACCATATTTTCATGGCAAATGGAAATAACTCCACAGAAAATATACCTGCTTCTGCAAAGTCTGTTTCCTCTTATGCTGTTCCCTCATATACCAGTAATCACTCAGGAGATAGAAAGGTTTTGCTTGTACGCCTGTGCTGCAATCTGTATTTCAGTAGTGTGGTGCTAACAGTAATACATTAACATTTGTGTCTGTGTTTCTATCTCTGTGATTTCCTGTATGCAGAAAATGTGTGTCCACATTTATAATGTCTTTTGCATGCACACAGTTTAATATATTCCAACACATATATTATCAACATTGAAAAATATATTGCAAGCCGTAAATATTTAGAGTGTTTCCTTCAAGTCACAACTCTGAGAGTCACATGAATGTGAACTGGAGCTTTCTTCTTCCATTTCTAGTTCTTTGACCAGTACAAAATGCTTGAAAATAAAACCCCATAATTCAAGCAAGTGTCAGTTAAATAAAAAGGGTAACAAGTTCCATCCCAAGATTATTCCAAGGCATAAAAACAAGCATGAGCATAAAATGCTTCGCTGAGCTAAACAAAAAAGCTAGATTTAAATGGCCTTTTCAACAGGAGTATAGAAAATTACCTGCTACAATGATGCTACATCGTGAATGGGGAGGAATACCAGCCTTATAAATAGGTACCATTCACATGAGTTTCTGGATGATATGGTTTGTGCCACACCAGCCTACTAATTTTCACACATATCTTTTCTTAGAGCTCCCCCTCACTGTGTAGCCCATCTGGCTTTCTGAGTTTGCCTCCCTGCATCCTCTCATTGAATTGGATAGAACCAATCTAAGATCAAATTGTTTGTCTTGCTCGGATTTTATAATAGACACCTGTATCTGCCATTTATCACAGTCTGCTTAGATAAGGAAACAGTGACGAAACTTTCATTTAGTTGGATCAACAGAGGAGTGCTGTGATTTTTTTCATTTCTAGTCCTGTTCGCTTTGGAGAGCATCTAAAGTCAGGATGAGGGAAATGGTACTGGTCACTGGAGGGACAGATAAGGGAACTGCATCCTTTTATTCAGTTCCACTGGGCCCAGAATAGGCACCTTGTTGAAGCTGGGCAAAACTCAGTGGTGTCGTCTGACATCAGGAGTAAAGTTGAGTTCAAAGGCAAGAAAGACAACAGCCTATAAGCCTGCAAGGGTGTAGCTATGAGGTTTTAGGTGAGTGGATGTAAATACTCAGACTTCAATAGATTCTGCAAGGGTCAATCTATCTTGAGTGGACTCTACAGAACCCTTAATCCACAGTCACATTAGTACTTCAAGTATAGCTTGCTTCAGCAGAACTACAATAAATTTCCTTTTTACTGTGCATGCTTCATAAAGGATATCACAAAAATGTTTTCCAGAGGTTGTGAATCATAGGTTAAAGAGAGCAGGGAGGTTTTAAGGTGAGATTTAAAGAAATGATTCAGTGGCTTAGGGAGAAGAGGAGATAAGTTTTAGACAGATGGGACACCACAAGTGAAAGTGTGTCCTTGAACTTGCAAGAGTCACAGGGAAGTTTAGAAGTGGGTGAGGTGACTGTGTGGTTTTAGGCCTTGGAAAATAGTTCAAATGACATGGGATGCAGCAGTTGTGGTGGACAAAGAAGACAGGAAATTGAAGTTTAATATCATCAGAGGGGTTAATCTTAATTCAGAAAGAACACATTCATTTTTGCATGTAAACCTAAACCATTAACCAACAAATGAGCAACTGATGCAGGAGGTGAAACATCTGTTCTGAGGGTGGGAATGAGTGTCTTTTCAAAGATGTCTCTTCAAAAGATAATAAGTAAGCTATTTTTTTGTAAAAACAATAGTGATAAAAGGACTGCTTAACAGCACTATACTGAAACAGAGAATAAGGATTTCAGTAGGAACAAAGGTTAGCCAGTGTAATGCCTGAGATATAAATGTTGTTTTTAGTAGTGCTATCATAGGATCCATCAATGCAAATGCCTGAAAGGTAATACCAATGCAAATTGTTAAGGGTTCTGGAAAGAAGCAATGCTCTTCACCTGGGTTGGGCTATGCCTGGAGGCTCAGTGTCTCCCCATTCCTTCTATAGAGGGATTTCAGCTGTGCTGATATGCTCAGTGCATATTCCTCACTCTGCTATGGATTATTAATCTCCTGACTAATCTAGTGACCTACTACAATGGAGTAACTGCATCAGTAGACAAGGGAAAAGCTATGGATATAATCTACCTAGACTTCTGTAAGGCTTTTGATACGGCCCCCCCAACATTCTGGCTGCTAAATTGAAGAGATATATGGGTTTGACAGATAGACTGTTAGATGGATAAGGAAGTGGCTGGATGGCCACATCCAAAGTGTTTTACTCAATGGCTCAATGTCTCAATGGAAACCAGTCCCTCAGGGGTCCATACTGGGACCAATAGTATTTAATAACTTCATCAACAACATAGACAGTGGGATTGAGTGCACCCTCAGCAAGTTTGCAGACAATACCAACCTGAGTGGTGCAGTTGATTTGCTGGAGGGAAGGGATGTCACCCAGAGGGACCTTGACAGCCTTGAGGAGTGGGCCCATGTGAACCTCAGGAAGTTCAATAAGGCCAAGTGCAAGGTCCTGCACATGGATCAGGGCAATCCCTGATATCAGTACAGACTGAGAGATGAACGGATTGAGAGCAGCCCTGTGGAGAAGGACTTCAGGGTACTGTTGGATGAAAAATTGGACATGAGCTATAAATGTGCTCTTGCAGCCCAAAAAGCCAACCATATCCTGGGCTGCATAAAAAGAAGTGTGACCAGCAGGTCGAGGGAGGTGATTCTCCCCCTCTGCTCAACTATCCTGAGATCCCACGTGGAGTACTGTGTCCAGCTCTGGGTCCCACATTGCGAGAAGGACATGGACCTGTTAGAGCAGGTCCAGAGGAAGGCCACAAAAACAGTCAGAGGGATGGAACACCTCTTCTATGAAGAAAGGCTGAGAGAGTTGGGGTTGTTCAGCCTGGAGAAGAGAAGGCTCTGGGGAAACCTTATTGCAGCCTTTCAGTATATAAAGGGGATTTAAAAGAAAGATGGAGAAAGACTTTTTACCAGGGCCTGTAGTGATGGGGCAAGGGACAATAGGTTTAAACTGAAAGAGGGTACGTTTAGACTGAACATAAGGAAGCAAATTTTTGCAATGAGGATGGCAAGACACAAGGAACAGGTTGCCCAGAGAAGTTGTGGATGCCCCATCCTTGGAAGTATTCAAGATCAGGTTGGATGGGGCTTTGAGAAACCTGATCTAGTGAAAGATATCCCTGCCCATGGCAGGAGTAGATGATCTTTAAAGGTCCCTTCTGACCAAATTATTCTGTGATTCTATGATTCTATGAAAGAAAAAGAGTAAGGAAATGGCACTATATTGTCGTGGTTTAATCCCAGTCGGCAACTAAGCACCACGCAGCCACTCATTCACTCCCCCCCCACCCAGTGGGATGGGGGAGAGAATCGGGAAAAGAAGTAAAACTTGTGGATTAAGATAAGAATGGTTTAATAGAACAGAAAAGAAGAAACTAATAATGATAATGATAACACTAATAAAATGACAATAGTATTAATAAAAGGATTAGAATATACAAGCGATGCACAATGCAATTGCTCACCACCTGCTGACTGATGCCCAGTTAGTCCCCAAGCAGCAATCCCCCTGCCCCCACTCCCCCCATTTTATATACAAGATGTGACGTCACATGGAATACCCCGTTGGCCATTTTGGGTCAGCTGCCCTGGCTGTGTCCCATCCCAACTTCTTGTGCCCCTCCAGCTTTCTCACTGGCTGGGCATGAGAAGCTGAAAAATCCATGACTTTAGACTAAACATCACTTAGCAACAGCTGAAAACATCAGTGTGTTATCAACATTCTTCTCATACTGAACTCAAAACATAGCACTGTACCAGCTACTAGGAGGACAATTAACTCCATTCCAGCTGAAACAAGGACATATATGAATTGATGTTTTTTGCGTTATGAGAAACCTTTGCAATCTCATTTTACAGTTTTCTTAACATTTCTAGAAGGCAATCTCAGAATATGCAAGAAGGACAAAAAGTCCCATTTGTACTGAATGTCATTCTTTTTTCCAAACAGAGGAATGCACCTGACAGGTGAAGCCCACCTTATGGTTC